CTGCTTCAAGTGTGGAAAGAAAGGGCTTATGAAAGACTGCCCAAACCACAGAGACTCTGCGCCAGGATGGCAGAAACCGGCCGGACGACCGGTCCGTGAAACTAAGATTGAACAAGATGATCAAGACTGCTGAGTATCAGGAATTCCTCGCTTGGAAAGCTTGGAAAGCGTCAAAGGCACCTTCTTCTTCTAAGAAGGATTTCTAAATGGGGAGACCGGACCGGCGTCGGAAACCCCTAGTACATCTATCGGACTCATTGTATCTTCTGTAGGCGTTTCGAATTCTATGCACATTCCTATTTCAATCGAATCCTGCAAGTCCGATAAAACCGCCAAAGCTGCTGCCCTAATTGACTCGGGCGCTGCTGGAACATTCATTGACTGGAAATACGTACGAAAGAACAACTTCTCAACTCACAATCTCTTTTCACAAATCGAAGTCCGAAACGTGGATGGAACGAAGAACAAAGCAGGAACTATTAGCAAAGCCTGCAATCTATTCTTCTCAGCAGGAGGCCGAACTATGTTCGCCACCTTCCTTATTACCTCCTTAGGAGGCGAAGACATCATCCTCAGACTTCCATGGCTCAAGAACGAAAATCCAACCATAGACTGGGCTAAAAGCGAAATCTCACTAGATGAAGACCCAATCATGATCCAGACCCTTATCTCCGATAGAAACAAACACACTTCTATGCAACCCAGAATAGAAGAAATCTTAGACGAAGAAGCTTATACACCCTCGGACGAAATTCCCGAGGAACAACCGGAGCTCCTACCCAAAGAAGAAGAAGACCCAGAAGAAATAATAGAAGAACTACAAGATGATGAAGTTCTTATCGCTTACGTCAAAGGAGAAGAATTCGTGGGAGTATACGAGAAAATCAACTTTAATTCACCACTCACCCAGGAACATATTCCCCCTTCCTTTTCCTTTGTGTCTTGAACAAACAGAATCTCTAAAGTCCCCAACTCTGCTCGATTCATGTTCACCCCGATCCCCGTATGAAAGGCTGCAAATGTTGCCCAACAACTAGCACAAGAAGCATACACTAAAGAAAAACCAAAGACGTTTGAAGAACTCGTGCCTGAAGTCTTCCACATGTACAAGGACGTCTTTGACAAAGCAGCTATGGACACTCTACCCCCGTCTCGACCCTTTGATCACAAAATTAAACTGAAACCCAACTTCAAACCACAATCCTGCAAAATCTATCCATTATCTGCACCGGAAGAAAAGGCAATGAATGAATTTGTAGATGAACACTTGGCAAAAGGGACTATCGTACCATCGCAATCCCCTCAAGCATCTCCTTTCTTCTTCGTAGGGAAGAAAGACGGATCCCTTCGCCCATGTCAAGATTATCGATGACTCAATGATGCAACTGTAAAAGATGCATACCCACTTCCCCGTATTCCCGATCTTATCAACAAGTTAAAAGGAACGACAATCTTCACAAAAATGGATGTTCGCGCAGGATACAATAACGTTCAAATTCATGGACCAGATAGATGGAAAGCCGCATTCAAAACATCAAGAGGGCTCTTTGAACCTACGGTCATGTTCTTCGGTCTATGTAACGCTCCTGCAACATTCCAAGCAATGATGAACGATATCTTCTCAGACATGATAGATGAAGGTTGGATGGTCATTTATATGGACGATATCTTAATCTTCTCCAAAGACCTCAAATCCCATCATCAGCGAACAATGCGAGTATTACAACGACTTCGCGATCACCAGCTCTCCCTTAAACCCGAAAAATGTGTCTTTGACACAACCGAAGTTGAATACCTTGGTCTCCTCATCCGTCCTGGACAGATTTGCATGGACAAAGTCAAACATGTTTGATCATTCTTGGGATTCGCCAACTTTTGCCGTCGTTTCATTGCCGATTATTCTACCATCGCACGTCCACTTATTGACCTTACAAAGAAAGATTCCATCTTTGATTGGTCACCAGCTTGCGATAAAGTGTTCACTGACCTGAAGAACCGATTCCTCTCCGCTCCCATACTCTCTATCCCTGACAAAGACACCCCGTTCACAATCGCTGTAGACGCATCTCTCTATGCTACCGGTGGAGTACTCCTGCAAAAGGACTCCAATGGTGACTGGCACCCTTGTTCCTACCTCTCCCAAACTTTTTCCCCTGCAGAACGGAATTATCAGATCTTCGACCGCGAGTTACTGGCCATCATCCGGGCCTTGGAAGCTTGGCATCATTACCTAGAAGGCTCCCCTTTTCCAGTTCTTGTCATGACTGACCATAAGAACTTGACCTACTTCCGCCAAGCGCAACAATTAAATCATCGACAGGCCCGTTGGCTTCTATTCCTCTCCCGGTTCGATTTACAGCTACAACATGTACCAGGCAAAGATCTTTCTGTTCTTGACTCCCTATCCCGCCGACCTGATCACATTCCCGCCGATGCCATGGACAACTCCAATGTCACTGTCCTACCAGACAGGCTATTCATTAACCTTATCAACAGCACCATGCAGGAGAAACTTCATATCTCATCTTCGGTTGACCCCGTAGTTCAACAAACCATTGATGCCCTTTCGAATCCCACCCTTCCCCTCCCTATGGAATCCGCGCTGTCTGATTGGACCTTTTCTGACGCTATTCTCACTTTCAAAGGTCGCAATTACGTTCCCCCCGGTCCTTTGCGTAAAGAATTGATTTCCCTTCATCATGACTCTCCCACTGCCGGTCATCCTGGTCGTTTTAAAACCCAGGAAATCCTTTCTCATGACTATTGGTGGCCCAGTCTTCCTACCTTTGTTCGCAAATATGTCAAAGGTTGTGCTGTCTGCCAACAGAACAAAGTCAATACCCACCCGATGGCACCACCTCTTTGCCCCATTCCCGCCCCCACTTCGTCCCACCCCTTTGCTCAGTGTTCGGTCGATCTCATCATTGACCTTCCCCCATCTAATGGCTTCGATTCTATCATGGTCGTGGTAGACCATGGGCTTATGAAGGGGGTGGTGCTCACGCCTTGCAACAAGACAATTGATGCAGAAGGAGTCGCTGACGTGTTCTTCAATCGCGTCTATACACGCTTCGGACTTTACGACAAAATCATCTCTGATAGAGGACCTCAATTCGCAGCTAAGTTCGCGCAAGAACTAGGAAGACTTCTCGGATACAAAGTTGCACTATCCACTGCCTTTCACCCTCAAACCGATGGAGAAACAGAACGAGTAAATCAAGAATTAGAAGTGTATCTTTGCATCTTCTATGCAAATGATCAAACCTCGTGGTCAGAAAAACTTCCCATGGCAGAATTCGTACACAACTCCCAACATCACTCTGCACGTAACACTTCTCCTTTCTATCTCATGATGGGATATCATCCCCAAGCATTACCATTGGCTACCGAAAAATCAGATCTCCCAGCCGTCGAAGCGAGAATATCAGAACTCCAGAAGGCTCGAGAAGAAGCCTTATCGTCACATGAACTCGCTAGACAAACCATGAGGCAGAGAATTACTCGATCGTTCACACCCTTTAAAAAAGGCGACAAGGTTTGGCTAGAAGCAAAGAACCTTCACCTCAATTACCCCAATAGGAAATTAGCACCCAAGAGAGAAGGACCTTTCACTATCTTGGAAGTTCTCGGACCAGTCACATACCGCCTAAAACTCCTGAACCAATGGCGTGTTCACCTGGTATTCCATGCGGCGCTTCTTACCCCTTATCACGAAAATGAAGAACACGGTCCTAACTTCCCATCGCCACCTCCTGACCTAATTGACGGAGAAGAAGAACATGAGGTAGAAGCAATCCTCGGACATAAAGGAACTCTCTCACGGCGACGCTTCCTTGTCAAATGGAAAGGTTACCCATTGACCGATAATGAATGGTTGTCGGAGTCTGATTTAGCCAACTCCGCTGAAATCTTGAACAGATATAAGCAGGCACATCGACTCATTCCCCTCTCAACTCGAACCATCATCACTAAACCATTCAGATCATGCCCTCTACTGGTGGACATAACTACATCTCCTCTAGCGACGAGGATATAAACCTCGTCATCACACACAACAGCGCCCCAAATGTTCCCATTCCAAACCTTAGATTCCCTGTATTTTCACCTCGCCCTCACTATATGACTATCAGTCAAAGGAATTCTCCTGAACCCCCTCGTCCAACTTCCCCCACACCCAATTCTGGAACATTGTCTCCTTATCATACTTTCAATGAACCCATCATCCCCACTTTCATCGATACCCCTGCTAGTCCTACCACTATCTGTACCTGTGAGCGTGTTGCAGCTCGTCGACGAGCAGCCCCTTGGAAAGTAGCGACTGACCCCTACTTGTCCGATCTTGAAGATCATAGACTTCGTTGTAGGATCATACTATCATCCAAACTTTTCAAGAACCCTATCAAGGACGCCATAGATACCGAACCCACGCTCAACGCCCTTTACAACCTCTATCGTCTCGAGAATACCTTGGAAAGGCATAATGCCGAGTACAGAGAAGAAGAACTCTTCTCACTCGACTATAGCATTCAAGACATCAAAGAGAAGCTTCAACAATTGACGTTGATCCTTATGGAGGAAAGAGGTTTCTTTGAGGCCCTAGATGGGCTAGGAGGAACCGAGGATGATCGGTGTCATGGTCTAGAGTGAAAGTCTGGGACTTTCCACGTAAGAAGGGGGTGATGTTACGGCTGTGCTTATCTTGCTTCTTTTTCCCTTGATACATGCTTACTATGCATGTGCTTACTGATACATACCTATTATTACGTCATACCCTGTACCCTGCATACTATATAAACCCTGGCTAGGTGACGCTGATTCTTCAGCTTAACCTACACTGGTTTTCCTCTGAACATCTGACTTGACTCTAAGTTACCTCTTCAGTACTTAGTCTTTACTTGAAACTGGACGTTCTTTAGACTGTTGTCTAGAACGTATCGACAGACCTTTGGTCTTATTGGTGATTGTTTGCCTGCGTTATACTTCAGCGTAACATCGGACAGATGCACCTCCACGTCCTCCGTCACACTGAATACCCTCTCCTAAGGGTCATCTTCCGCCTGTGCCTGGCGCACCCTGGTATTATCCCCCTGGCTGTGCACCTTGCCCTGGCCGAACATGTAAGTGGTTCTGCATGTGTAGACTACACTCACCTCATTTGCTGTTGCAGCATTGTTTGCCTGGTCCCAATAGTAATGATGGGGCAGCAGTGGGTAGTGCTGGGGCACTGCTTCATTGTAGTCGGGGTAGTTGAGTTTTTCGCATTCCCACAATTCATGAAATGATGCAAGGTTCTATGCACCTGAGGCTCTCTTCCAGCCTGCATTCCTTGGTCTTGAAGCTACTGGTTACCACAAGAGCACACAAGAAATTCATTTACCAGCAGCATTTAGTATGATTTATGCCCTACATAGGTACAAGTCGATCTTCAAGTGCAATCTTGATATTTGTCATGACTTGTACAGTAACATGGTGTTGTTGGGTGGTATTACCATGTTCCCCGGTATTGCCAACTCTATGCAGAAGGAATTGATGTCACTCTCACAAGCATGAAGGTTCGTGTCAAACTTAGGTGCAGTACTGTAATTCTTATTTGTCATCAGTTGTAGGTCAATATTGTGCTCCTCCTGAACAGAAATTCCATCTTGACTTCTCTGTCCACTTTCCAGAACCTGTGGTTTTCAAAGCAGGAGTACGACAAGTCAGGTCCTGGTATTGTCCACCGCAGTATGTGTCCCTTGTTCTATTTCTATAATTTTACTCATTCTAAAATACCCCTGCAACAGAGCACTTTAAAAGAAGTAATTGCGTCTATGTTGTACTTGAATTGCTACTAATTCTCAGTGACACTTTGAGATATCCATGGCCAGAGGAGTTCTATTGGTAGATGTGCTACTTATGTCAAGAAAAATCTTTACATAGAACTGTTTGTTCGTTGCTCAGTACAATGAAACAATTCCATGATAAAACTTGAGCTTGAATCATGACATGGAGATGTAATTACAAATGATGTATTTGTTCACCAAACATCTTCACATCTGACGATTCAAATATTCAATCATTAGATGGAAAACACCTAGTAAACAAACTATTTTATTACAATGCATCACAGCCTGAGCCTCTAGGAGTGGTCTGACTGAGCCCCAGGCACAGGCCGAGCTGTAGCCCCAATTTTTCAACTGAGCCCAGGTTTGCATGAAGTAGATATGACAAAAAAACACACATTGGAAGTACCAACTAAATGATGGCAACATACACATAGTTAATGACCCAGTTTATTTATCACTAACGAGGTTTTGACCTCGGCCGATGCATCACCCCAGACAAGCTTTGTGATAAGAAACACAAGGATAACAAATACCACAAGAAACACTACAATAAGAAAGACCAGGAAAAGGGTAAGGACAAGAATAAGGATAAGGAATAGGAAAGACTAGGGTAGCAAAAAATCAAGAAAACAAGCAAAAGATGAGGATAAGGAATACAATACAACAAAAATCAATCCAAGTTGGAACAAGGTTTTTACCTCAACATCAAGCATTCCAATAGCAAAAATCAAGCCAAATTAACCCAAGTCAGAATGAGGTTTTGACCTTCACCTACACATCACCCCAGACAAGGTTTTCGACAAGCAAGACTACAATAAAAAAGACAAGGACAAGGACAAGGATAAGGAACGCGAAAGACTACAACAGCCAAAGCGAAGATAAGGAATACGATACGACAGGAGATAAGAAAGACTACAATAGCAAAAGACAAGGATAAGGAATACAATACTGCAGAGCACAATAAACAAGTCAAGACAAGCCATATGATAACAAGAGACTACCATAGCAATAAAATAGCAAAAATCAAGCAAAATAAACCCAAGTCAGAATGAGGTTTTCTCCTCAACATCAAGCATCCCAATACCAATAAAATACCAAAAATCAAGGAAAATCAATCCAAGTCAGAATGAGGTTTTGGAGGAGTGACTGGATCAGGAATAGGGACAACAGGAGGGACATCAGGAACTGCTGGAGGCACCACATCTCCCCCTTAATCCAGTGACTCATCAGAACTGGACTCATCATAGTCAGAGTCAGAATCAGAGTCAGAGTTATCTGAATGAGGCAGATTGTAATATGAGGGTGCTGCTGGGGGCTCAGAGGTAGTCTTCAACTGTCTGGGAGGCTGGGGAGCAATGACAGGAGGTGCTGGAGCGATTGGAGCTGGAATGGATGGACTGGATAGGTGCTTGGACAGAGGGAAGTATCTTTCATCAAAGTCAGCCCTTTCACAGATCATGGTCTTCTTGGAGGTGGGGTTGTAGAACTTCCAGCCCTTGTAGCCAGCAGGGTAGCCAATGAAGATGCACTTTTTCATATGAGACCCAAGTCCATCTCTTTTGTCCCTCTTGATGTGCACATAGGGCAGTGCATCCCCAAACTCGAAGGTGAGAGACATCTGGTTTGTTGCCATGTCACAGCTCATAGGGTGTAGTGCTATCTACAGCTTCAGTAGGGCATCTGTTCTGGACATGGATCAGAGCAGCAAGTTGTGTATCAATTCAATTCAGGTATAATAATTCCAGCAGTGTTTCACATGCATATTGAAGCTGCCAAAAACCAAGGTCATGTATTGTGTACCATTTGTGAGTGAAAGCTCTCCTCATTTTTGCACCAGACCCACCTTTCGCTAATCCTAATGTAGGCACAACTGCAACAGTTGGAACTGTTGATGTCCTGGGAAGGTTGGACAAGATACAAAGAACACAAAATACAACTGAGGTGATCATAAACGAAAATCATGCAATGTTACAAGAGACTTGAGCTATGGTCATGAACATCAGACTTGCAAACCAAAATGCCAAGGTACCACAGGAAAGAAACCATTACAAACCGCTTCAAAAAACTGTGAGTTGGTCTGTTGTTATGTGTTCCCATGTCCTAAAGTGTCTCCCTATTACTGTTGTAGAGGAGTGGACATGGTCATGAACTAGCGTTGCAAGTATCAAGGACAGAAAACATTAATCACCTTCCCCCGCCAGCTACCATTCAGCCTGCTTCATGAGGGACTGTCCCCCCTTTTTTTGACCGCAATACAGATATGTATACATTAGGAACGATCAACTCCCTGATTATCTTCTACAACAATGATTTTGATATAGAAAAGGAGGATAATTTGGAGATTAGGAAGATAAAGTTTCACTGCTGGTTGTGTTCTTGATTACCGCTGTAGTCACTTAAGCTAGTTGAATGAATTGTTTCAGACTCATCGGCATCTTCCAAGCTTTGTTCCTTTGATTGTTTGAAAACAAAATCTGTATAGGATATTGACGTCTCTTGAGACTAACATTAATAAACAACAGCAAGCCCAGCAGTAGCCTTTGATTAGCAGACAAGTCATATTAGTGAGTGCTGAATTGGCACCTCGAGGGTCTTGCAGGAATCCTGTGAGAAAGGGGGATGTGGCTGAGAAGTTCCTGTGCAATCTAAATTTAACATGACTAGTGAAGCAAACATGCCTATGGCATGGGTGTCTGACCAACATGGGGTGTCTGTATGCAATGTAAATATACATAAACTTGTAGTGATTCAGTGAGAATGAAATGGCCTATGTACCTTCACGCCACAGTTTTGCCTCAGGTGTGACATGCTTTCATGAGGTGCAAGTAACATAGTACCTAACACGCATGTTTTTGATAATCTTCTCTAGGCCCTTGATCTTCTTTAATTAATGAAATGAATTGTGTATCACTGTGGAGCGCTCACTACAATCTATGATAAGTAGACTTTGATGGATGATTCTGTAATAGAATCTGGGATGTGAATTTCGGAACACTGAGAATAGCAAGTCCCTGAGCGTGAGCACACATGCATCTGCACACTATATCGACTGCTTGATCCAGCCACAATGCAAGAGTCCTTGGGTCTAGTATTGCAGCCTATGGCAGAGTCGATCATGACATGATCACAAGCTGTCAAGACTTGATTGGCCATAGGGTGAATATGAATATGTCTGATGTCCTCATTGGTAGATAGCACTCACTCTAGCCCAATACCTGCCACAGGCATTTATGACTTCGTTACTGTGCAATCAGGATTAAACACTGCTGTGTTACTGTGTTACACAGACCCACAGCCCATGGTCCACTGGTCTGCTTCAACCATTGAATTCACGGCAGGCTGCAGCAAGTGAACAAGCACTGTGGCTGGCAGAGGGCAGTGCCAGAAATCTGTGAATTGTGCGTATATATATGATATATCCCTCAATGAACAGATCCTGCTTATCTGGATTGAAAAATTTGGAATACCAACATGGAATGGTGCTCAAGTCCCTGAGCCCAGATGTGCAGTCTGCTCAATACTGGCTGCAGAAATTGCCATTAATATTCAGTACTGTATATGGGACAGCCAATATTTAACCCCATCATTCACCTTGGGACATGTGGTGCAGAAAGACAGGGTCTGGGTGAAGTTCTGTGAGTTTCCAGTTCAAGTTGATATCTCAACACCTAGTCAGCTGGTAGTATAATTACTTACTTGAAGAAACTCTGGGCACATATAGCCAGTATCTGACAAGAGGGCAAAACAAGTCATATCAGACCCTTTAGTATTTTGGTGGTGTGACAATTCAAGACACAGCCACATTCACGCAGTTTGATCACTCAATGCAATTTCAACACTTATATGTCTTAGGATAGCTCTAATTCATATTTAGTTGTGTATGGCCTGCCACTCGTCAATACACACTAGTTTTTGGTTGTATATGTTAATCATCTGTTCATTGATGCTGTCCTGACACTCTGGCATAGACATTGGAGGGCACACAGTGTTATTTCCATTCAAAAGGACAGAACAGGTTCTCACACCCCACTGTCACGCACCACTGACGATTGCCCTCTTTACAGTGAAGCGCGTATCCCAGTTGAGAGCATTATAACCACCAACCAATACACCAGGGCTATATCCACCTGGCATGGTACATAAGATGGTTGGACATTGGTAATGTGCATTGTGCCTGTAATACATGTGTGAGTGTTCTCATGAACAAGTCAGTGAGCACTACATTGACTGTAGGCTGTACATATCTGTACATACATGTATCTTAGGCCTTTGGTATTCAAAACAACATGCTTGTGGGGTGTGGTGTTATTTGTGGTGATTGAGCACCTTATGGTGCGAGTTATTTGCCTTATATTATAACCTATTGCTCCAGACTTGTCTGTATTGCCAGACTTGACTTACTTATCTTATTAAGCTGTGTTCACATATGTTTACATATCTTCAACTGTAGGTAGTGAGTCTAGTGGTCAGTTGTTCCTCAGCAACTGACACTGGCTAGGTAAAGTCACTTCATAGTTTACACAATATATTAGCAACTGACACTGGACTATAGTCCTGTTCACTCTCATTAGCTCACTTGTGGCTTGGTCCTCACAGTTATTCTAACAGATTATGAGCCCTGCACTTTAAGGACCTCAAGTCACTCACTCCTCATCCAACTACTGCTCCACTCTGTCTCTAGTGTTTTCCATCGCATTCTACGACCTAGGAAACCCTTATTCTCATGTCTGAGCACCATTTGGACTGTTGGAACACCCATTGTGTTGCTTTTGAGTAGTTCAACCAAGTGGCTTTGTTGAAAATTTCCATAGCCCCTTTTGGCCATCTACCCCCTGTCACTCACTCCTACTCCTGTTGCTCCCTGTCCTGTCCATTGCCTTCTTCACTGTCCTGCATCATCCTAGACCCTCCTACTTGCCACCCAGTCCCTCGCTATGTCAGCCATGACTATCACTCAACTCAGCTCTTCTAACTATCTTGCCCATTGGCATGTTGCCACATTTTTTCCTTAGTACCACATGCTGGAAGGGCCAACACAAACACAGCGACTGGACTGATGTACCGGTTTTGGAACATATCCAGGGTGTTGGAGGGCATGTAAAGCTGTTCCAAAACATTGTGTATGGCGTCAGTGAGATCCTCACAGCCTGCCTGTGATGATACCAGCAGCTTTTGAAGCATAGCTCAGGCTTCTAGCTGGCCATTGGTGAGGAAAAGATGGTAGGAGCTATTGGTTGTAGACTCAGGGCCAATAGGAAGCTGGATGTACATTTTGTGGGCTATACACCTGAGAACAAAGCATAATAATCTCACTTCTTTAGAAGCGTATGTGGTGTGGGTGTCCTGGTAAGTGGGCACATTGAAGCACTCGGCCAAAGACTTTGCTCCACTACAGTTGACAACCATTGCAGTTCAGTTGCTAGGATGGATAAGCTGCCTGTCTTCTGCGGATTACTACCGACTTTACTGTTGCTGCCCCTGACTGATCTGAATCTTCACTAGATGACACATTAGCCAGTGCTGCTGTAAAATCTTCTCCAGCATTGTTATCCCTGATGGTCAGATATTCCATGTCCTGGACAACAGCCTTGATGTCAGCCTGTTCAGTGCTAAAGGCTAGATCTTGGACCGCAGCCTCAATGTCATGGCCTTCTGGGTGTAAATCTGGTAAAACATGAGTGTGAAGGCCAACACCATAGAGAGTAATTAATACCTTGCATTATCTGACCTACATTAATGCCTATTGTAACATCAATCCCATCATCAATGTCAGCATTACTGCTATCCTTATCTTCCGTATTATCTTCATCTTCCTTAAAAATATCACTAAAGTGAGTAACTGATGGAGCTGTTGAAGCCACTGAAAAAGAGAAATGTCATTTTTAACTAACTGACAGACTTGGAGACAGCCCTAGATTTACCTGCACTAGGCCCAGTAGTCATTAATGCGGTTAGGACTGAGGTGAGTCTATCAATTATTGATTTCTCAAATGCGCTCTTCTCATTTTCAACCCTGATTGGCAATAATTTACTTAGTACACAGTGGCTGTAGACCAAGTAGTCAGAAGGAAGTCTTGCATACATGTGGACAATTGGACCTCCCTGGTGGAATCCAGCTATTATTGAACACATTTTGAAGCCTGATTCTGCTATAACCTGCTTCTGATATTCTTTGAGCATTGATATGCCAGAATGAAACATGCTGCACATTTTGATTATCAGAGTGCTTGAGCTTCCATCATACTAGAGGGAAGGATTTGCTTATGGGCCCATGGCTTGTTCCATTGCAATGCTTGTTTGATTGTGTGCCATTTTGCGACAGCTTATACGGGTTGACTCTGACTAAGAGGGATGCTTTGGAAGTACTACTAGGCATAAAGGATTGAATTATCACTATGGATGGCCAGTGAAGTCAACTGAACCAAAATGGAGCTGAGTTCATTTCTGACTTTGAAAACAAAGGTGGAATGAACTGAAGTGAAAGCAGCTTGGTAGTTCCCTTCTCTTCTCTCACATGAACATTAACCCTGACCCTCACTGCATCCCCATGCAAAACCAAAGTAATGCTGTTGTCACTAGCTCAACAATCTATCCTATTGTCGAAATCCTGGACAGGCATAGTGCCACACTGCAACCTCTTGTAGTCACAGTTCATTTTCCAGGCATTCTTCCATGGAACATTATTGATGAATGCCATGGTATTGTGAGTTGTTCTCGCCTCCTAGCATAACTAGAGCTTCAACCTATTTGATGATGGTTTCCCTAACCCCTTCATATTTCCATCTCGATGGAAGAAAATATACCAATCACTACTCAAACCTGCAGTGCATGCCACAGCAATCAATAGTCTCTCCAATGGTGCACCATCAGTACATTCTGATGACTCAGATGTACACATAGTTTTTCCTCAGTATCTTTTACTACTCTAATTTTGTGCAAAGTCACAGTCAAATGTGGACGATAGATTAGAACATTGACAGATGAGTCCAGCTTTCGGGTATCACTGTATGCCAAGTCCTGAGCAAGACGTCCCCATCCCATCCCATTCCTGTCCCTTCCACCTTCTTTCAAAAGTAGAAATTCCATACATTGGGCACATCTCTGCAATCAAATTGAGGACTGGCTTGTCTCATCGGTTCATACCAGCTCCTCACAGTGGACATGGGGTTGAGATATATTTTGGCTAGCATTTGTGGAATCCAACTATATCATTGGAAGGTGAGTTTATTGAGGAGTGGTTGAAAAAGACATTCATGGGCATAGATGATACAGAATGCATGGACCTGCTTGATTATATATGGGAGTGGTTGAAAAAGATATTCATGGGCATAGATGATACAGAATGCATGGACCTGCTTGATTATATAATACTTGTTTGCAAGTTTCAAGGTCCTCTACCCCAAAATCTTCTTGGTAAAGCATATGGAATTGGAGCTGAGAGCGGTGATTATGTGTGTGATCATGGAAGGAGTTGATGACAAAGCGATGATTGTGATTCTTGATGTTAAGACCATGCTCAGGGGGAAAGCGGAGTCTGAGGGGCTTGGCTTCAGCTCGTATGCTGCGCCCCTTACCCGAGTATGTGCCCCTAATTTCGTATTGTAGTCTGACTCGAGTTCTATGAGCTCTGACAGGACGTTGGAACGGGGGTCCTCTGAAGGAGGACCGACAGACTACTAGGTGAGCGCGGAAAAGTCGGGCGGGGGTTGTTCCGCCTGACAGGAGGGAAGCGGGAGACTACTGCGGTCAGAACCAACAGTAGCAGTGGAGTGGAAGGAACTGCTTGGACGAAGTCTGAAGCAGAGTGGAATGGAGGGGATGGATGCAAGAGTGTGGGGTCTAGTTCCGACGCATGGGGAGTTGGAGGAGCAGAGGGACGGAGGAATGGGGGAAATGAGGGAATGGGGGAACGGGGGAATGAGGGAACAGGGGAATGGGGGAACGGGGGAACAGGGGGAACGGGGGAACGGGGGAACAGGGGAACGGGGGAACGGGGGAACAGAGGATGGGAGGAGCGGGGGATTGGAGGATTGGAAAATGGAGGATTGGAGGATTGGAGGAGCTGGAGGATTGGAGGATTGGAAGATTGGAGGATTGGAGGATTGGAGGATTGGAGGATTGGAGGATTGGAGGGTGGCTGGCCTAGGGAGTCGATCCCCTAGGCCGGCTAACAGGAGTTGACTAGGATCAGGCCCAAGTCAAAGAACAGAAGAGCAGGGCTTAGAAAAGGTAATATTCAGACTAAGTATCTACAGACAGATGTACATATGTTTATATACTCTAAGTAATTAGCATAGCATAGCAGGAGGCTATGTGCTGAGTGTACAGGATAAGAAGATGACTGAGACATACGAGAATAAGGCTCGGAGAAAAGTATGTACGCAACAGATCAATAATCGCTAGGGTATAGGGATTACTGGGTACCTGAAAAGCAGAACTATGATACTAAACGGGGATAGGACCAGTTGAGTGGTTCCTAATCTAGGGGTGGACTGGTGAGGCGGTTGGACGGATTAATAGTCGGGTGGGACAACACAAGCGGAACCGAAGGAACCGAACGGGTCGGAAAAGTGGAGGGAGTAGGAGTAGGGTCGGGCTGGACCAATAGGGCAGAGGAGCGGAACCCCAGATAGGGTCAGATGGAAGGGGTATGGGGTCGGAGGACATAGGGATAATGTCGGAAAAGTGGAACAGAGTCGGGTGGAGGTAGCAGGGCTAATCCTGCTGAGATGCACTTCATGCATTGTCGGGGAAGGAGGAATGGAGCGGATGGGGAAACAGGGGGTCGGACCAGGGGTGGGGATGTTCATGGGTGGTATTGGAGGTGCTTGGATCCAGTATACGACACTTGACCTTAATTGCTATTGAGCTGGCCCATGACTCCATCAGAACCATAAACATCTATCTGCTTGCTCGCCATTGCTAGGGCATATTTTGCACTTCAAAATTCAGATAGAGTAATAATCAAATGACAGTGCATGTACAGTTCACCACTGCTGCATGCACTAACAAAGACACCAGTTTGATCAAACACATTGATTGTCTTTTCAGTGACAGCATTTGTGGCTTTCCAGTTTTCAGTGCACAATGACTCATGCAAAGCTTCCAAATTGTTTGTCTGTGAGCTTTCAGGAGGGAGACATGTGCCTTGGTGGAGTCATGTTAGAATCACTGTGAAGACCAAGCCACAAGTGAGCTAATGAGAGTGAACAGGACTATAGTCCAGTGTCAGTTGCTATTGTGTTGTATAAACTAATGAGTGTACTATACCTATAGTCCAGTGTCAGTTGCTAAAGAGCAAGCAACATAGGACTTGCTACCTATGGGCGAGTCTATGTAAACAAGTGTAAACACTATCTAAGTAAGCAAGGAATTCACATCACATGGTAAGTAAGAGTCCAATAGAGGAAGCAACATTGTAACACAAATAACTCGCACCATAAGGTACTCAATCACCATAACTAACACTCCCCCCTGATTGTGCACCTCTACACATCTCAGCTCCCCCTCAAGCTACTCAGTCCCATCATCTGGCAGAACAGCTGCACCTTGGGTCGAGCCAATGCCTTGGTCAGGATGTCAGCTGGCTGGTCAGCAGTGGGCACAAACACTGGTGCAACAATCTCCTTGTGCACTACATCTTGAAGCCAATACCAGCTGAGATCAAGCTGCTTCATCCGACCATGGTGCTCTGGGTGCTTGGCCACAGAGATGGCACTCTGGTTGTCAATCCTAAGGACAGAGGGTGTAGAGGCAGGGAAGCCCATCTCAAGCAACAGGTTGAAGCTCCAGAGGTCGAGCAGCACGCCATTGAGAGGAGGGGAATGTGTTTGCATGCATCTTCCCAGCTAAGCATGGCTCACAGATGGGATCTGGCATTTTCTTCAAATTTAGCTTGAGTCCAGTGACCATGTCATGATCAATAAGCTTCTTGACACCTGCTAAGTGATGGTGGGCAAGTCTCCTGTGCCATAGGTTGATGTCCAGAGGTAGAGTGGTCGCTGCAGAGGCATATTCAGAGAGAGGGATGGTGGAGCCATCTAATAATGCTGCATTGCTGCTGCTGATGGGTACAACAAACAATATGGTGCCTGCAGGACACTGAAATGACATCTTGGTGGAGTCAATGGTGACATGGAAGCCACTATGGTGAGTGAGGTAGAGGACAGAAAGCAGGTTGTTGCGAAGGTCACGGACATGCAAGACTTCTGAAAACTCGACAGGTCTAACACTCTTGCCATCAATGACTGGGTTGAAGACCACTGTGCCAACACCAGCAGAATAGACAAAGGTGTTGTCAGCTAGCTTGATAGGGATGTAATTGTGAGTGTAATTGCGAAGCCAGTGACGATGAGGGGTCATGTGGGATGTGGCACCTGTGTCTGCATTCCAGTCGACAGTAGCATCAAGTTGGAGGGGACAGATAGTACTGGAAGGGTCAAAAGAGCGAAGACAAGCAGTGCCAGCAAACTTAATGATAGTAGAGTTGATAGGACAAGGAATAGTAGTGGGAGAGGGCGATGCAGTGGGGTCTGTGAGACTCTGAGTCTTCCTGGAGCACTTCTTAGCCTTCTTCCTCCTGCTACAACACTATCTAGAGTATAGGGAGGCAAGGGTAGACCAGATAAGAACAGGATGATCTTAAACAGCATCAATCTGTGACCTCATCTCCAATGGGCAAGCCAGATAGAGTTCCCCAGCAGCTTGGTCGGCCTTAAGATTCCATATAGCCTGTGCCTCAGGCTGTGGGTCTGCAGGACGCTTCTCAGAGCCACTGACAAGCAGCCACAAGCCTTTGGAGCACAGGTAAGACTCCATCTCTGATCTCTAGGTAAGATAGTTAGAAGAGCTGAGTTGAGTGATAGTCATGGCTGACATAGCAAGGGACTGGATGGCAAGTAGGAGGGTCTAGGATAATACAGGACAGTGAGGAAGGCAATGGACAGGACAGGGAGTGACAGGGGTAGGAGTGAGTGACAGGGGGTAGATGGCCAAAAGGGGCTATGGAAAATTTCAACAAAGCCACTTGGTTGAACTACTCAAAAGCAACACAATGGGTGTTCCAACAGTTTGAATGGTGCTCAGACACAAGGATCAGGGTTTCCTGGGGCGTAGAATGCGATGGACAACACTAGGGAAGGAGTGGAGCAGTAGTTGGATGAGGAATGAATGACTTGAGGTCCTTAAAGTGCAGGGCTCATAACCTGTTA